TCCGCTCACATTGGGAAACTTTGAATTGGAATAGTTTGGTTCACCGAGAACGAAAAATAACGAAAATATAGCGTCCGTATCCACAACAAATACTCTCCATGTCATCTGAGTTACATTGACCTAGTGTTAAGCATAACGGAATTATGCCCCCTTATCATTATATGTGTATGACCTCTTTGTCGTCGTTTAACGTCGTAGAAGAAAATCCATTTTTGACATTTATTGCGAGTCATTTTTAATGTTGAGCGTATAATGTTATGCATAAGCACATAAATAGAGAATACTACACGAGGTGTCATTACATACGAATTATACGAAACGAGTGTCCTTCCTGTGGTATCTGACCGAGCGAAAGCGAGGTCAGATAACATAGGAAGGTCACGAGTTTCGTATAATTCGTATGTAATGAGACCGAGTGTGGTATTTTATTTATTACCCACGTCTTACATGCATTAAACTGACAAAATAGCGAATTTTTTTTAATATTTTGGTTTCAAACCGAAACCGGTTTCAGAAAGGGGTTGCGGAAGAGTTTTGTACTGTAGTACAATATTTGCATGACGTCACACCAAAATGACGTCACTGCCTTGGTAACCGACGTCACGATGCATGTCAGTTGTCATCGCCTCGAACAGCCTCCTATATTAAACTACTCCGTAGCACCCCGTTTCTTGGTTTGCAGTTGCTTCATTGGCTAACATCACTGGTGGAAACATTGCGTTTATGTTTTTCGACGGATATATTAAAACGCGAGTTTTGGGGAATCAGCTCGCTTGGCAAGAGGTCTGCCCATACCAACCCACACACAACACAACACCTGAGTAAATAAACAAGGAGTTTATTACACAGCAGTCACTGAACGATTTTACATAATCAGTCAATAATAGCATAGTTTACAATTAATTATTAGAACATGTTCACAATGCAGTCAGATATCAAAGTACATAAACATCACATGTAGATTCGTTATACACGACACATCCTACATTAATCACGATACATATTCCAATGTACACAACAATAGTTCAGTACACTACACATCACCCCAGTGGGGATTCATACAATCTACATTCTGTAACGGTCCCAAACAGCATATAGTATTCACAACGTAATACAATAGTTAAAATATCCGACACACTCTATACATTCTATACTAGTCACGAAACAGTGTAGTGTCAATCAGTATTAAATAAACAATCCTAAACTGTAATACAGAAGATATGAGACACACACTAAGGGATGCCTGGTTCCACATAAACCTGAAGGTACTGCCAAGGGTGGTAACATATAGTTAAGGTATTTACAATAGGTGAAAGTTAACATAGAATAGCAATGGTATGTCAAAGTAGAAGGAAGTAAAGTTTCTTACCTGAGTGAATTTACTAGACAGCCACCCGCTGGTTTGTGACTTTCATCCGTAATTTATATATATATTCTAGCTATCGCAAATAATCGCGTTTACAGATAAAACTTACGATAACGTTGTTATTGTGAACGTGAGATTATGTCCTTTAGTTGGACCGAAGCATCGATGGCCAGTCGCGAGTATGCCACGAAGGTATATGTGGCACGCACGTGATTTGACCAACGTGGAATACAAACAGCCGTAAAGACAGATAAACGTAATGCACCTTGGTTCTATAAGCTTTAGAGATACTGGTCCCGGATTAAGTCCGATGCTCGTTATCAATGTAAGATTGAGGAACGTAGTCGGTTAGTCTGTAATATTTCCAGTTTTCAATAACGCATATCGTTATAAAATATTGGTAAAACTTTGTCTAGTTTTTCCGTGTTAATAGTAATAATGTCTCAGTTCGACTCACAATTAAACAGCTACACGGCAACGTTCTCGATGCTTACATTCCCACAATGCATTTAAGTTGTAGAATGAATGAATTCACGTGTTTGTTATGAATGAAAATATAGTTACGTCAGAATGTGACCTAATTGAGAGGTCATCGGTTATCCAATCAAATCGTTAGAATCTCAGGTCAAGTCGTTACGACACAGGTCAACGCGATACGACACACGTGTGACGTACGAGATTAGTATGCAACTACCCATACGTTGACCACGTGGGTAATAAATCCAATTCATATACACTTATGTCGTTCAGATATCAGGCTGTATTTCCTTCGCTCACACTTTCCGTAAAGATGCCAAAATAAAAAATTCGTAGCACAGTGCTTTTATTGGTGCGCGATAAAAAGCGGAGAAATTTACTGTTTTTTAACGCATAACAAAAATTTGGGCAACATTTAGCAAGGTCTATTTCTCAAACCGCCGAGGTAGTTGCACTTATATTTATACCAACGGATGGGAAATTTAATATTCTACATTTCTGTATAATTTTATAACCGTACATAGATCGAGGACCACGCGAGCGCAATTCTCGCACAACGTTCACTTTTCAAACCGTATGAAAATGTGCGCCTGAAAAAAAACTCGGCATCAAGGGGGTTAACTGTAATCACTTCTACCTGAAGATAAAAGTGAAACATGTTGGAGAAGATCCGTGTCGTGCAATTATTTCAGAAATTTCTTCTTCTCATATATACTCAGCAGCAGAAAAAACGTCAGTACGAATTCAAAATCAGATAGGCATTGTAATCAAATCATTATAGAAATGGACATAATAAGCGGATCAAAATTTTTGTGTGTACAATATGTTGACACATCAACCTATAACTCAATCAAGACATTACGATTTCCACCCCATACCATGATGCTTGCACCTCCCCATGAGTCTCTTTCCATAACACATTGGTCTGAGTAACGCTGGCCACGTCGTCGCCAATATTCTTGTTCTGCCATCTGCAGTTGATACGCAGTACCGACTCTCATCTGTGAACAGAACAGTTCTCCATTGCCTGTCTCGCCAGTTTTGATGTTGTAGGGCAAACTGTAGACGTTCATGCCGATGACGAGGGGTGAGGATAGGTCCACGGTAAGGTCTACGGCAATGGAGGTTCCCGCTGTTAAGACGTCGGTGTACTGTATCAGTACTGATTGTTCTTCCGTATGTTCCCACCGTCTGGCGTGCTGTTTCGGATGCCTGTATGAAGGATAACTATACATGCTGTCGCACAACATGGCGGTCTTGTCGTCTTGTCGTCTTGTTGTCACCCTTGGTCTGCCAGTACGGGCGCGCACACACACACACACACACACATACAGCAGCACGACCCATACTTTGGGCAATCATAACCTGTTTCATGTGAGGTAGATAAACGAGCTTGGAACTTAACTTCAGGTGGGGTCAATACCGCAAAGTCTTGTCAGTATGACTTTCTACGTTTCGTGGTTTAGATCTGGGTTTAGGTAGGCAGCAGTATAGTCCAGAAGATGATATACCATCATAATGGTTAATATTTCTAGTTTTACAGATCTAATTAGCTTATCTGCCATCTAGTTTCATGTTCATGGAACCCTCAACATCGTAGGTGTGTATCTGGTCGTGTATTTGCAAGATATATGTTTCTTCTGCAATCCTCTTCTCCAGACTCACAGACTCTAACCACATTTCAATACACCTGAAGGGATAAAGTTTCAAAACCTTACTCAACAGTTGTGGTTCCTTTACAATGTGACACTCAACTCAACTCAACTCAACTCAACTCAACTCACCTTACCTCACCGCATCTTACCTCACCCCACCTCACCTCGCATCGCATCGCATCGCATCGCATCGCATCGCATCACATCACATGATACACCATGACAAAGCGGTCCTCATGGTCACATCTGTAATGTTGTCGGTTATATTGAAAAAACTGAAGTGTTATTAGCACATAACCAATTATATTGATGAAAAGGAACGCTACATATGCTTTGCATATACCAGTATATATTTAACAATGTCAGTATCAATAACATGAACGTCCAATGGTCTTGAATACAATTTACAGAAATGAATTCAAACATTGCAACCTTGTAATATTTGGACGGCGTGAGTGTATTTTCAAATCTGTCAAAGCTAAATTACTTGTTTGCGGTTGAAGGAACTAAGCCAACAACTCTTTAGTTTGAGGAAACAGTCAGCATGGCCAGTGAACAAGTATTTTGATATCGCTCCATCTTGAGAAGATAGATATTAATAAATATAAGAGCATATCTGTACCGCGCATATATCCATGCCAAAGCGCACAAACAATTTGATGATTATTACCCCGGATAATCCAAGCTGCCTGTGTTGCCCTTGAAGGTTAATACTAGTGGTCACATGACTTATCCCACCGGGTACCCATTTTATGCTGAGTGAACAGAGGTAATTTTAAATAAACTTACTTCCCTAAGGTGGGACCACATGTATCACATGTGCTTCGTGTGGGGCAGGACTGAAATCCTAGAAACTTTCAGGCGTCAAGCTGCCAAACACTGTCACCCATCCAAGATTCAAAGTTGCTTAATTTCAACTAATTTGTGAACTGAGCTCTATGCACAGGACCACTCACCACCACTGCTTGGGAATAGAAGGTTACACAGACTACAAGCGGCATCAAAACGAGGCTGTAAACATGCACCAAACCACTGTATTCGTAAGGTACCAAAAAACAACAATAACAGGCTTATCACATACATCATCATCGAACAGCAGTTTGTTTCATGCCACCATCAAAACTGATTGTATACTTTGTTATGAGTTCATGCGGCTTTTGCAGATTAAGCAGATGATTGATTGTTATTCTGTTCATTCTTACTTGAATAGTAGGAGCTAAAACCTACCGGACGTGTGCTCATGTTTTTCATCTCTCACCAATACATAACATTCTGGAAGATGTTCACAATTCACGCCTCATTTTGAATTCTCTTGAGAGAAACTGTGAAACTGTTACCCGTATTTGCCATTAACGTAACACACAATAAACAATACAGTACTTATATTCCGAGCCAAAATACTTTATTTCATTCTTGATTCCAAGACAAACCACTCACTCTCTAACGGAGCATTTAGATGAGGAATATACAAGAAAATTGGATAGATAAATATTGTCATTTCTGGAACATACAGTAACTTCAAGTTCACTGGTCATCTGTCCCTGTTTCCTCGCTTCCATCAGTGTCGGCCGTCCCTTCATCGACGTGATTCACATCGGAATACGGTAAGGGTACGGGAACACCCTGAACGTTCTCGTCTTGGCTTGGCTGGTATGCATGAAAGCCTTGTGGAACAAGGTCATTGCGGTCACCCTTGCGGCTTCTTTTCGATGGATATTTGTAGAAGATACCTGTGGCGGCTTGAACCTCTACCTCGCAAAAATTCAACAGTTCGTCGCCCGTTTTCATGATGCGGATATATTGGCCTTCTGGGTAGGCAATCCGGAAGTATTTCTCATAGTGTGAAGTGAACTGGAAGGTTAGGAAGGGACACACAATCTCGATGGTTTCGTTGAGGCCAACGCCGCCAGGGTCGCCGATGCTGCCACAGTTGACCACGTTGCCAGGGCTGCCAGACAAGGGGTTGTTCTCGACAACGTCGATGGTAATGTCTCTGAGACGATCAGCTGCAAAACAAATGGATAAATGTGATATTAATCAGACATTCTGTGTAACATGGTTATGTGTTTGTCGAGAAAATGAGTGAGTTCGACCACGGTGTTAAGCTAACAAGCTGTGATATGGCTAGAATACTGTTCAGAGCGGCGTCAAACCATGTACTCAGTTTACAAATGAACATGACGGTATGTTGTATATAACGTACCACAACAATCTCCTCTGTTGAAGATCTTGACGCTGTAGATCTCCATGTTAGCCCCGAGGTCCACATACCACACGGGGTCGGTGTCCCCGAAATCGCTAGAGAAGCAGCTGCCTGAGAGGAAGTCGCCGTTTGGGTCACCGTCGACAGCCAAGTCTGCCGTTGCGTTGAGGTTTTCAGATCCGAAAAAGAAAGACGACGTGGATCCGGCGGCCTGTCCTTGAGCGACCTCGCTTGTTGAAACGAATACATTCCATGCTGACAAAACAAAATGCGATGAAGACTTGTAACAATTAAAGACATTAACTCTTTGAACATTACAATACAGTTAGCAACTAATTTCTTACCGTAAATCATATCTCATGATTATATTTGTATTCGGCCCAGCATTGCTAAAAGCCAACAACTTCTTATTTATCAAATATACATCTGTCGTAGATGTTTAACGTTCAAGTGTATATTACTTGATTGGTTATACTTCAGTCCGCTGCCTGGTCAAGCGGACAATGGGAACCATGAATGCCCAACAACAACTACATCATGATGTGACACATCGCATTCACAGACCACGAGCTGTGAAACTGGCCCAAGGACAACAAACGCTGATCTGTACGTGTTGTTCGAACTGCTTCTGCAACTACATCCATTTAATGCCAACTGCCATGATATGCTTTGACGATGAATAAGTAATGTTGAAGTTTGAGCAAGGTTAACTTTCTCGAACGAGGCGCTGCTTTTTAATTACTTTGATTCATTCTGTGTTCTAACACTGATGTTACTTTCCTATATATCGTGTAATTTACTCTGAACATAAAGAAACAGAATGAACATTAACTTGCTAAATAGTCGGTTAATCTTACTAGTCCCAGTCTTGTTAAAAAACAATTCAAGTCGATTGACCTACCTGACGTCATAATAATAACAACGTCACTACTTGTCACGTCCCGATTAACCTTGACCTTCGACTTAACCCAAATTCTAATGGCTCCCACAGGACAGATCACACCTGTATATCAGTTATGTCTTGAGAAATCAATTAATGTACTTGTCAGAGATATGCTGCCCTTTATGCCAGATGGAACCTGGTTCGTTGGATATTCGATATATCTGGAATTGACGGTTTATGTATACAAAGCGATCTTAGCGCTACGAAGTTCGTATTTCCCATATCTATTTATACCAACTCAGTTGGACAGTAGAAGACCTTCCGTTAGAAGTTTCGATCGCATCGGGTCCTTTAAAACTATCTGTCTACTAAAAAAACAAATATGTCTAAAAGATTGTCACAAAAACATAGATTTCAGCTTCATTTCGTTTCAAATATAGCAAGCAGGGTGTGTTCACTAAGTTTAACTTACCACGGGCGGACCCCATGACCATGAAGAGAAGGAGAGCACGAGCGATCATGTTGCTTGCTTTGAGAACAACAATGTTGTGTCGAATGTCACACGAATCATGGAACTTATATACTAAAGAATTCTAATGTAAAACTCATTTCATTACAATTTCATTACTAACATAATAATATTAATGAGTTTGGTTTCGACATACTGTGTGTTTCTAGTTTGTCAAACATTTACGTGTCAACACTTGAACTCACTTTATGTATAAACATGTAAACATATCGAAGACAAGTCAATAATGACATTGCATTGGTAAACAATTTGAATTTGAATATTAATGTTAACGAACTTTTCTGCTCAGGGAGACTAGGTGCAGTTTATCAGTAAAAACCTCTCCAAAAAGGGTGGAAAACTACCTTACTGATTCTGTAAACAGACAAAGATTTGGTATTTGTTAAAAAAGAACGGACTTGGTTCAAAAATGAATACTATGTTGCGTTCTTGGTACCAAAATGTGAAAGCCTATGAATGAACGAATGAACGAACAAACGAACGAACGAATGAATGAATGAATGAATATATTTCCTCAAGATTTCAATCCGAAGATCATATACATAGATACATCAAATATTCACAGCAACATATTCACAGGCGGGTGCACACATGTACAGAGCAAAGGCAAGGAAGGACCTAACATGCACACTTGAGTGATGATACCATGGAATACAGGTATTTACAAAATAGGACAATCATACATCTCCATGACATTTCATCTATGTGCTCAGGTTTCTAATCTAGCGAGAATTACTTTCTCAAAGAGTTTTCCAATACACGATATTAAAGTTATTCCTCTATTGGTTTTAGGATCATGTTTTGCTTTTTGCCTTTGATCTATGTTCTGTGTGAACATAATCCGGACCAGGAGATGTATTTTATTGAGATTATTGATGTGTCCCTTTAACTTCGTCTATTTCAATACATTCACGCAAAACATCCTCATCACATGATAAGTGTTCATGGCTTATATTTGTAACCTTTTTGTCAACTGATATTTTGAAGTTGTCAAATGATGAAGAGCATTGGGGCTTAGCTAGATCAGCAAATTAATCACCCCAGAGTTCACAAATATCCTCCGCTGTATTTGCACTAGTTCTTTAACAACAGGATTTTGTCGCATGTTGCGTTCTGTGTATCAAAATGTGAAAGCAATTAATGTAAATACAGACTCTGGGTTTTTTAATGTCCTCAAGGGGTACGTCAAGGTTGTGTTCTTAGTCCTTTTCTGTTCTCACCTTTCATGTATTGGTCAAGGAAACCACGCCCACGTGTACAAATGGCGTTTAGTTATTCCCTGACTTACTCTCTTCTACTATTTGCTGATTACGTTTTATTTTCTGATGCTGTAATAAGACTCCAAAGGCAAACTGATATTTGAGAAAATTAGAATAATTGCGTCTGGTGTCTTCAAGTTATTTAAACAAGACGAGAATTGTTGTATTTGACTTTCTAGAACGGACAAATGGATCTACGAACATGTTCCAATTAAAGTTTCTTCGCCGTACAACTACATTGGAATGCATTTTCGAGAAATCTCGCTTGGCAGGTATCTATAAACCAGCCGACCCCTCAAGCTAAGAAGGTTCTCATTTCCGCGCAGTTTGTATAATTATGAAAATATCTCATATCAACTGCACTAGACGCCAAAAGAAACGTTACCCTCGTACCTTTATGAATTACTGAAAAACTATCAAAGATATTTTAGAAGGTTTTAGTTTACAAGAAAGCTTAACAACACAGCTTTATGCAAATCACGAAAAAACATTCTCAAATGCATTCATATTTGGGTGAAATGCATTTTTTTCAGAAGGGTTCAATTGTCCTATATTCGTCCATGCCGAAATAAACCAATAGTAGTGATTTTGATGTTCAGATTACTTCAACCCGAATGCAGTTCAAGGCTCTAGTTGATTTCTTTGCAGATGTTTTAATTATGCATCTGGAAACTAGTTAAGCAGTCCGGTAATGTTAACAAAGTTGAATGTTTAGGCTAACACGTACAATACGTTTTTAAAGTTGCATGTTCTTTTCTGTCTTGGCTACAAGAAAACACAAAAAGGACAGTTTCCTTCAACGTTCTAATAATGGATATGGTACACTTAACAAACCATCTGTTTTCGCTCAAAATGAAACGTATGGAGCTAAGTCAACATGGTGAAATTCTTGAAAACATTTAAGTAAGTATGGCAAATCTGCTGTCTTGGATGGTATTACTCCTGAGTTTATGTGGTTATGTGTTTGCTTTGTTTGTGAAGTTTGAAAAGGCTTTCGGCCTCGTTCACAGATCTAAGTTAGGGCATATTCTATCACGTCAAGGTGTATCCTCCAAGTTTACGAAGGTGTTGCAATCCATTTATGACTGTGCTAAGGCATGTGCTCGTTCTAGTCGAGGATGTTCTCAACCGTTTGATTGTCCTTTAGGGATTAAGGCAAGGCTGTATCTTAAGTCCCCTTTTGTTTTCGGTGTTTATAATTGAACTTGCTAAAGAAAAAGAGTCTAATTGTTCGCAGGGTATTCAAGTGCATCAGGAATTAGTGGAAGTATTCTTATTGTTATTTGCTGATGACGTTATTCTCATTTCTGATACTATTTTTGGTCTTCAAAAGTGTGTAGATATTTTAAAATCATTCTGTGGTGGTTGCAGGTTGTCTTAAGTAAAACGAAAGTTGTTGTTTTAAAAAATGGCGGGATATTGCCTCATCACGAAAGATGGTATTTTAACGGTATCAAATTGGAATGTGCAACTTCTTATAAATATCTTGTGTTTACAAGTTGACTTTCATGGCAGAAACATGTACATAATGCAGCGCTTCAAGCAAAAAAGGTTTTATGTGGTATTTTTGTTTCAATGTATAAATTAAGGCCACTTTCGTTTAAGCTTTTCTTTAAAATATTTGATTCTCAAGTAAGTCCTATTTTGTTTTATGGTTCAGAAATTTGGTGGTTAAATCAAGACATGTGTTCGGAAATAGAGGTTATACATATGTAAGCTTGTAAAAGATTTCTCGGGGTATAATCTTCAACGTCTAACCATATTTTTAGAGGTGATTGTGGCCGCTATGCCCTGCACATTTTTGCATATAAAAGAGTCATCTCATAAACTGTTAGCTATGCTCAATTACAGATATGTTAAAGTTACAATATGCAATTGCAAGCTCCTATTCATGGTAAGGTCAACTGGGCTTCTAATGTTAGAGATATTTTATGTTCACTCTGTTTTGGTTATGTTTGGGACCAATAATGTATTAACAATATTCTATGTTGGTCAATGAATTTTTCAACCGAGTAAAATGTTGTTATGAACAAGACTGGCATTCTGATGTCCAAAAAAGTCCTGAAAGGTATTTGTATTGTATGAATAAACAAAGTTTTTGGCGTGGTGGGCGAGCTGTGTAGGGCGCCAGGCTAGTAATCCAGCGAGGTTGAGGTGCCGGGATCGAACCGACCTGTGACCGGGTATACAAGCCTTGGAGTCAACTTTGTGTGCAGACTCTTTCAGTGTTGCCACAACCCCTAGTGTACAGTACACAACCCAGTGCACTTAAAAGAACCCACGAATCTGTTGGTAAATGACCAGATGGTGGCCACATGAATACGTGCAAACACCTCGTTGCGGGTACAGCAAAGTGCCAGTCCCAGTCCACCCAGCTGTAAATGGGTACCTCGTAATGATGTGAAAGCCACACTAACTCGATGCGCCTAGTGGCTGCAAGAATGGTATGCTCCCAGGGGTGAAGTTGATTGATAATACGACGTGCCGTTGAGATTCGATTATGATCGAGGGAAAAACAAAGCGCCTGTGAGCAGCCGAGCTGGAACTCGGCGCTATATAAATAGATTATAATAATAATAACAATGATAAAAGGTTTTTCAACAGAATTGTATATTACCACTTTAACATGTGATAAATAGAGAATACTACACGAGGTGTCATTACATACGAATTATTCGAAACGAGTGTCCTTTCTATGGTATCTAACCGAGCGAAAGCGAGGTCAGAAACCATAGGAAGGTCACGAGTTTCGTATAATTCGTATGCAATGAGACCAAGTGTGGTATTTTATTTATTACTCACGTCTTACATGCATTGAATTGACAAAATTGCGTATTTTTGTTATTGTAATGGTTTCAAACCGAAACCGGTTTCATAAAGAGGTTGCGGAAGAATTTTGTTCTGAAGTGCACTTTTGCATTACGTCACACTAAATTGACGTCACTACGCCATTCTCGTCTGTCCCCTTGGTAACCGACGTCACCATGCATGTCAGTTGTCATCGCCTCTCGTACAGCCTCCTACAGTAAACTACTCCGTAGCACCTCGTTTCTTGATTTCCAGTTGCTTCATTCGGCTAACATCACTTGTGGAAACATTGCGTTTATGTTTTTCGACGGATATAATGTCTCAGTTCGACTCACAATTAAACAGCGACACGGCAACGTTCGCAATGTTTACATTCCCACAATGCATTAAGTTGTAGAATGAATGAATTCACGTGTTTGTTATGAATGAAAAAATAGTTACGTCAGAATGTGACCTAATTGAGAGGTCATCGGTTATCCAATCAAATCGTTAGAATCTCAGGTCATGTCATTACGACACAGGTCAACGCGATACGACACTCGTGTGACGTACGAGATTAGTATGCAACTACCCATACGTTGACCTCGTTGGTAATAAATGTTTCTTTGTAACCTGAGAACGTTGTAAAGCAATATCTAGTATACTCTCCACGTGCTGTCGCATATACCCCGTCAGGCGTCGTATCAGTTGCAGAGGAAGCTGTCGCCATTTTTGGAGCAAAACTGCTTCCAATTCAAGTAAATTTTGAACAGGTGGTACATATTCTTGTATCCGTCGCCCAATTAAGTCCCAAATGCGCTCCAAGGGGTTTAGGACTGGACTCTTGGCGGACCACGGAAAGTGAGTCACTGCATTGTTGTGAATGATGCTGTCACTGCACGAGGACGGTGTGGCCTTGCGTTGTCATCCATAAATACAGGCCTTT